TGTGTGTTCCTTCCTCACTTCTACATAAACATCAACGATAAGCTTAACACGCTTCCCTTACATGATGGCATATAGATGTAGGTTTGCCTTCATAAGGAAGTGTTGAAATCATGGATAGAGGAAATGTTTAAGAGTTTTGAATATATCTGTCATCATTCAGTAATCTGTGTCCCCTGTTAACAATGGTCATAACTATCATAAAAAACCGCAGAAATTTCTTTTGTGATATTTTTAAAAATATTTTCGATTACAGCTTGATGCCACACCGTATTTTCAGTACAAGTATGGAATTTTCAGCATGGATATCGGTAGCCCAAATTTTGCAGGCCGACCATAGATATCGGGTGTGCGTCGGCAGGGGATCGAACCCCGGACCATGTGCATGGTCGGCGAGAGTCCTAACCACTGTGCCACTGACCACAAGTCCAAGTTACAGAACAACAGTAATTAGAGAGAGTATGGAGACAAGGAGGATAGCCTCACAGAATAAACTATTATACGTGATGTCACCTACACCGTCAAAGAATATTGTCCTACAGCAAACGCGTCGTTAGTACAATGCTCGCCAGGCAAGCAAATGATCTCAGTCCGATTCGCTATCGATCCACTACTAAAACCTCGCCTATATATTACTAGCCAATCGTAAGCATGGAAAAGAATGAAAATTGAAGGCGAGGGTAGCATCCTCACTCCATAAGGACAACACCACTTCTACTGAAAATTCAACGATTGATATGACAGAAAATATCTCTAAAGTTTTTTCGCAATGACTTTCCAAATAAATTAGACTGGCTCTTTCCTATGGCGTTCACCCTAACATAGAGTAATTATCTATCCCGATGACACCGGATAACTGCAAATAGTATTTTTATTTGTGTATTGGTTAACTTTGTCATTATCATGCTGCGTTGTAGTTGTATAATTTAGCCTTAGTTTCACAATTTATTATAAAACCCAATAAACTAACTCTTCAACATAAAACCAACTGCTCTATTATCTCAAGTTTGCCCACGGATTGATGATGTCAGTTAGAGAACCATTGAAAACCAGAACCAGGGAGTACTGAACAGCTGTTTCGTCCTAGTTTGGGACTCATCGACAGTAAGCACCCACTAGGTTTCACATCCACGACTTTCCGGTTACAAGGCAAACTCGTAGGAACTTGTAGCCACTGGGACCATAGTTATTTTCCCCTCTACTTCTACAAGTATACTCATTCACAACGATTGTGGTCACTTCGGTTATTAACCACTAATTCACGTGCCTGAAATCTAATTCTATTAACTACATTGTTGCTGCGAAATTCCCCACTGTATGACAGCCTTTTATGGTGTTGGTGGCATTGTGAAAGCCACTCCCTCAGTACGTAACCAGAGTAGACTATTAACTCTCTAATTAACTATTTGGAGAGTTGATTTCCATTCTATCTGCTTTCACAAATTCCTAACACTTCTACAGCATTTCTTTTTATTCCATTTTTAATCTGAGTAGTTTCGAACATTCAGTATCGCCATGCTTTCATCAAAAGAAGACACATCAACTGACTAGCTTCCTAAAGATTTTCACAAGCCCACGTCATTTCGCCCCTCCAACTCCAGTAAATAATAAAGTCTATTTTTTATATTGTTTCCGTGTTTTGAAGTTTTTGTAGGCATTGGGTTGATTTCCCACGGTAGGGACGCTAGCACCAAATCTAACCTTGGCTTTTTTGCCAACTTTGGGTCGGATAGTAAACTTTTGGGTAAGGTGGGAACGTCATCTTACAAATATCATTACTATATTATAATATTATTGTTCTCTTGGGTTCCAAGTGGAACATAGGCCTTCGACAGCACGTCTCTACTTTCATCTTATTCTCGGCAGTCCTCTTCAGCTGGTCTCATGATTTTCCAGAAATAGGTTTTTGGTTGGTTTGTTCCCATAGTTTCTTGTTGCTAATTCTTTCTGGCCATGTCATTTTCAACATGGAGCGAAGCTAGCTGTCGATAAGAGTCTGAAGCCCGTTGGAAATGTTTCTCATGACGCGCTCGCCCAATCTCTGACCCATATAGAAGTATCAAGTGACTTGACATCGGTGTTGAAAATCCAAATTTTGCTCTTTATACTGAGTGCAGAAGATTTCTAAACTAATATCAAGGTAATGAGGGTGCGTCTTGCCTTTTCGATTCTGGTTTTAACATCCCCATCTATGCTATCGCCTGTAATTGGAATGATGTTTCCTAGATACGTGAAGGAAGTGACCTTTTTTCAGATTACTTCCCCATTGACAGTGATTGGTCATTGTCGGTTATCCTAGTCGCTACTAAATATACTAAGAATTTTCATTATATCGTAATAATTATTTATCATTACGTATAGTTTAAAAGATCTCCTTTGGTGGCAGCAAAGGGGGGTCCTGAAAAGAAGGAGATAATTGTTGGATATGTGATGAGAGTGAGGCTAGCAACCCTACGGCCTCGCCCCGCCCCCCCCCCTCTCAAAAAAGGCAATTTCAAAGCACAAAGCCCTACGTGTTCCCCTCGAAATGCACAAGAACAAAAACATCAGAACAACTTTTTTTCAAAATGTTAAAGGCTATAGTTTTTATTTAACAGTGTTCTTCTTCTCCTCCGGGTTATAACAAAGACTTTTTGGTTCCGGTTCTATTCATAGGTATGTATACACGTATATATATGTATGCATATATATAACTGTTGTTATTAATAATAATAGTAATGATAATAATAATAATAATAGAATTGAAAGAAATCTTATACAGTTAAAAGTTCAATAGGTATAAGAAGTCTATGAATTTATTTCTTTTAAAAAGGCTCATAGGTACACCTTTCTTCTTCTTTCTCTCTCGCTGTATTAAAGCAAAAACAGGTAGACGATTACCTAACTAAATTAAACCAACTAGAGCTGACAACACTATTACATCATCTCTGTCACAGAAGATATGCAGACGCACCCACCCACCCTCTCCAAACAACAGTGGTGACATAGGGAGGGAGGGCAGAGGGCGGGGAAACATATAACCAACCAAAATCATCGAAGAAAAGGCAAAACTAAAAGAAAAATAACTAAAATAAATAAATAAATAATAATAATAGTAATATTCAGAAATACATGTGTGACTGAATGTTTATAAGTTTATATGAATAACCTTCATTGATAATTCACAGTTAGTTTTAACAGTAGTAATACAAGTGATTGATTCAGGGGCTACGCAACACAACACACCAACCATCTATCTACGTGCAAAGATGATACCGGAAAAGAGGGACAGAAATTAATGACGACCACGACAACAACAACAACAAGAGGAAGAAGAAGAACAAGAAAAGCAAAAAGAATCAATTTCGTTTGTTTCTTTCTTTCGATAGAGTTCAGCTCTACATAGATCATTCACACTTTTCACATCAACAATCAATAATAGAGTGCAATATATATTTATATGTATATATAGTATGAAATACACAGGAAATTAAGAAGAAAGAGGAAAAGAGGATAAAGGGACTTGAATTGCTATCGCTATTATTATTATTATTATCACTATTATTATTTCTTTTACTGAAGATATGCTGGGGTTATCTAGGTATCAATTAGTAAAACACTGGTTAAAACAGAAATATACATATATATATTCGTTTACACCGTTATTTTTTTCAAGTACAGGACTAGATCGACGGCAATACGATGGGGGAGGGGGACTCCGGAGGGGTTACTTTTTACAACATCTTGAGTACAGATCACACATACACTCTCATGTACACAAAGGAAGTACAATATATAATAAAGGTAAACATAAGTACATAACTATTTGCGTTACACAACAGCACTTTTTTTCTTTTGCTAACTCCTCTGAGGAGGAATGAAATCAACAACCCCTTACCCTCTCACCACCTCCACCCAAAACCAGAGATAACCAACATGAAGAGTAAGTAAGTAGAGTGAGCTCCAAAAGTCTAAAGGCTAGGAAGATAAGAAAAGAAGAAAGTGGGAATATGAGCAAGTAACAAGTTAAATATATATTATAGAGACAGAGGGGGGGGGGAGAAAGAGAGAACACAAACTAACATGCTATTAAGAAACACCAATAAACACTAATTTTTGTTGTTTTGTTTTTGTGATTTTGTTTTTAAAATTCTGAAGCGAGTAGTTCTTGTTGTCTTTTGATTACAGAGGATAATAAAGACACAAAAATATTTAGACGTAAGAGAAGGATTTTGATTCATACATATGTGTATATAGGTGTTTCTGAGTTCGCCAGTATGGGGGGGTGTGTAAGCTGAACACGACGTAATAATAAATATCAGAGGCGAGAATAAATCGAAAGAAATGCATATACGTTGTTGTTGTTAATATTATTGTTCAGATTCTAATGTGTAGTAGTACTAATGCGAGTAATATATTTCCTTTTCTGGAGGGAGCCAGGGCCGGGCCAGGCCAGGCCGGGTGGGGACCACCACCCTCAGGAATGAATGATAAAGGCATACATTCACATGTGAAGAAAAGGCAAATATATATATATATATATAAACAACAAGAACATAAAAATATAGACACAGGTTTTAGTGTGTTTTGAAGCTGAAATACACCATCAACGGCACGGGTGGGAGGAAGTAACAACACACACACACACACAAAGACGCTCACAGCCACAAATAGAAAGAGCTCCTTGTTTTTACACAGTGAACACCACAAAATATTATGTTTATCAATTGAGAACAAAATAAAAACACACGGAGAAGGATAAACAGAACCACAGCAAAAAGAAAAAAATAACAACAACAACAACAAATGAGAATAACACACATCACAACCCAACCGTATATTGATTAATTAGTATAGGATAAGAGGGAACAGAATGTATGTTAAATCACCGGAACCAACAAGGGTTAATTTATACATTATGTGTATATATTTGTATAAAGGAAAGTTTATTATTCATTTATTTATTTATTTATTTTTGTTGTTGATTGATCCAATGAATGCTCAAATTTCTTTATTTTCTTATATATTATTACCATTATTATTATTATTATTATTATTATTAATATTATGTCAGGAATTGAGAGATGAACAGTTTAACACAGTTATATAACTGATTGCCCGGTTAACAAAACAAAGTTGAATATTATTTTGAGATTGTCAGATTAAATTGAACAACAATTAAAGAGTGTAGTAGCAATAGTAGGAAGGTAGAGTGCAAAGGCGTGCAAAAAGAAAAGGATGATAACAATTTTTAGAATAACACAATAAAATAAGTAGTAGTAGTAGTAGTAGTAGTAGTAAGTAGTAGTAGTAGTAGTAGTAGTAGTAGTGAGACGGTGTAACTGTGTCATTAAAAGCCTTAAATATTATTATTATTATCACTATTATTATTATTATTATTATTATAATTACCACTAGTAGTTAAATACCACTTTCAACCAATAGAGTAGGCCGAATTTTTTGTAAGAAACCCCAATCATCAATTGAAACAAATCCATAGGCGTAGAGCAGTGTTAATCTAAACAAATAAAACAAACAATGAAATAATATACATTGTCAATGCATGAAATTGATGATTACAACAACACAGAGAGTAATGTGAAACTTTCCTATACAGAAATCTTATTATTATTATTGTTTCCTTTAATTCCTAGAGGAACATAGGGCTTCAGCCGTGCGTCTCCATTGCGTTCGATTCTCTGCTAGAGTCTTCACCTGACTCCAAGTCTGCCCACATGCTTTCATCTCCTCTTCACATGACCTCCTCCAAGTCACCCACCCTCGCACTGACGACCAACTCGCCGCTTCCCATTCGGGTTCCACTCGAGCAATGGCTTCTCTAGTGATGTCACTTGATGGTTTCCTCAGAGTATGGCCAGCCAATCCATCTCCATTTCTTCCTGCCTATTTGTTTCACAATCGGTTCCTGCTGGTTGGTTCGCTCCCAGAGATCTCTCACCATTGCTGATCTTTTCTGGCCATCTGATCTTGAGTAGTATTGAGAGAAGACAACTGTTAATGAAGGTCTGTAGTTTGTTTGAGATGCTCTTTATGACGCGCCAAGTCTCTGATCCATCCGTATAGTAGCACTGACTTCACATTGGAGTTGAAAATCCGGATCTTATTTTTGATGCTGAGTGCTGTTGACCTCCACACAGACTTGAGAGTAGTGAAATCTTATTAGTATTGTTTAACATGTGACTCACCTTTTTGTCAATTTGTTGTTAAGATGATGACTGTAGGATCAGTCTGCACTGATTCATTCTTTAAGCATAGACAATGATTTGGAAGTCGCACCAGCCCTAACAGACTACTACCACCACTACTAATTGTTGACATAACCTCAGCTCGTTTGGTATATGCCAATAAGCATCACCTTCGGTGCAACGTCATATTTTCAGTTATGCATCAAAAGATATAGTGGTGTCGGTGATTCAGCGGTAGAATGCTCGCCAACTATGTCCACTTGGTACAGGGTTCAATCCCTGGTCGGCGCACACCTTTACTTCCCTCCAAGCCGGTTGTAAGCCAGACAAAGAGGGGAAATTGAGAGTGAGGCTAGCAACCCCACCATCCTGTAAAAAGCACCGCTGCTAAGTAAACTTCAGTGCTCAAACTTGAAGCCCTGTTTTCCACTCGGAACGCAAAGAAATAAAATAAATAATCAATAAAATCAAAAGATATGTGTACTGCACAGCAGGCCGAAACCGTCTTTAGCCAAAAGCATTCTATCTCTCATGTGAATGGGAATATTATCGTGAATAATACTGACGTCAGGAATAAAGTATTAGGTATGTATGCACAGAAAGTCAATCTAATGAGACGACTAGGATATATGTTACGCATGTCGATCCGTAGCCTTTCACATTGAGCATTGTCAGTCAGCTGACAATGCCATTAAGTTGGGAAACAGTTACTCTTGTCATCATTCTATAAAGTCTTTAACCATTGGTTAGAGTCATGTAAGGTTTCCCGATGTACGTGGTCCATGTACGAAAACATGGCATTAGTTAATGAAACCCATAACGGTTACTTTAAGCCATGTAGGGAGGTGTAGACTGGCTTCCTGGTTGCGATCCTCGGGTTGGTAAGAAGTAGTAGGTGGTGGTATGAATCAAAATCGCTCTCAATGGCGCTGATGCATTGACTCTTTGGATGTGACCTCTCACATCCAATAAATTCCTAATCATTCTTCACATCATCACATTTCTCTACATTTATGTGTTACATGAACTGTGACACCTATAACTGGTAGGCTTTTGTGCAGGCTTATGCGCTGGAAATTCAATTCACTTCAAACAAAACTTGATATCACTTATGAGTTTCGATTGAGGGAGTGTGGTTGATTCAGAAGATTAAACCATCATCCATCTAGAAACATTGCTTTGTTATTTTTTAGTAAATAATACGTCTTTTCAGGATTTAATTATGAACTGACATCGGTTAGAGGACCAATGGAAAACAAGCAGGGAGTACTGGACAGCCAGATGTTTCATCAGCCTAGTTTGGGACTCTTCATCAGTATGCATCCACACTTCAGGGTTCAAACCCAGGATATCCCGGTTACAAGTCGACCTCGTAGACCGTTCAACCCTCTAGGACTCGATCCAATGACCAGCCCATGAATTCCAACTTCTGCCAATTCACGATATGGCGCGACCACTAGCGAATGTCATCGCTGGCGAGTATTTGTCCTCACACCCGACCTGCCGTATCCCACCAGTTACGAAATCCCCCCGCACTAGAACCCACCCACCCAGATAACCTACCTGAATAGGGTCAGTCACTAGTGAGAGTATCAGATTGATATTCAAGTGTTGGTTTCCAAGGATGTCACAGTTCATGATGAAATCCTCAAAACCAATCAAATCCCTACATACCAACACTTGAATACGTCTTTTGATTTACTTATTAGGGGATCCTTATACAATAAAATGAATTTCTCACTAGTAACAATAAATCTTACTAAACTGACAGACAATAAACCCTGAATGGTCAGTAGACTTCTCAAGCTACTAACTGAAAGAATATTGATTAATGGGATTGTGTACCAGAATTATTTGAAGACAATGACTGCCTAACTGCGTTCCAGCCTAGAACTCTGTACAGAAGTGTGCAGCACTTCAAGTTGCCATATTCTACATAGCGCGTACAAAGGTAGAGGAATATTCTTTATCCTACCAATCTCAATCTTTATTCACTTACACAAATATTTCACGTTTGATTTACGGATTGATGATGTCAGTTAGAGAACCATTGAGAACCAGAACCAGGGAGTACTGGACAGCTATCTAAACCTACTTTGAGACTCATTGGCAGTACGCAGCCACCACCAGGGTTAGAACCCAGTTACAAAGTAAGCTCGTAAACGATTCAGAGTTACTGGGACCCAGTTCAATGGCTAGCCCATGATTTCTAACTCCTACCAACTGGTGGTTTTAATACCGCCACCAACGAAAGATATTTATTAAAGGTTCCCCAATTTACGATCTAAACATGAGTTTGATCAAATTAGATTTACTAATAGAGAAGAAACAATAACGAAAGGAAGAACTACAGTTTTAGCAGAATAAAATGGTACCATCTTTTATGCCATCGCCAGGCATCTCCTCGACACGGGTTATGAGGTGGACGTCGAAAAGTCGTTCAAAATTATTAATATGCAAAAGAGCTCAATTCTCCTTAAGTCTGGTGAAGCCATTTCCATCAAGCGCCTGAAACCTGATTTATGCGTTCAGAAAGAGGCGGTTATCAGTCTTTCTTTGCCAATCTGGTAACTGGATATTTTTCATCCGAATACGAAATGCTGAAAATCTTCCATTGTGTATGATTATTATTGTTCGGAATAGTGTTTAATATTGCATATATTTATGTATATATTATCAGTGTATGCGTATATTGATAGACTGAATTTTGTTTAAAATGAACTCTGTGCAAGTATGTTAAAATTGATTTTGTAGATACATTTAATAATGTCTTTGCCCTGTAAGCAGCTGATGAGAAGGCAACCAAATAAAAGATGGTACCATTTTATTCTGCTAAAACTGTATTTCTTGCTTTTTTCAAATTCATTAAGGGGAATAAATATATGAAATAACGAAAGGGTGTGTGTGCGTGTGTGACTTACTTTGGACAAGCTTTGATCAGTCGTTCGAGTACATCATTTGTTATTTCTCTACAATGACTAATTCGTAAACATTTTAAGCTAACTGCTGGTGCATTTGTTAGGTGAAATAAACTGAAATGGAACAAAAAGAAATAACAACAATATTAATTCTCATATTTAAAACAAGGTTGGTGGGACATTTGGCAAAAGCAGTGAACATATGAATGATACCCCATAAGAATACATGGAGTTGTGTCGGGATTAGGATCAATTCCAGTTGTTAGATGTCGTCACGAAAAAACATTCGTTAGAGAGATTAGTGAAAACCATAAAGGAGCACTAGGAGCTGTTTCGTCCTAGTTTAGGACTTACTCTTCATTAGAATTCACGGGGTTATTGAATTCCGACCCAAGTACCTGAATGACTAACGGGTTTGGTCTCGTGACCTGAATGTTTCAGGTTCGACTAATGCCGGGTCGTGGGTGAGCACCGCTGAAGAGTCCTAAACTAGGATGAAACAGCTACCCAGTGCTCCCTGATAGTTTTTAATCATCTCACTAACTGATGTGTTGGTGGTTCTGTGACGAAATCTACACTGAATTAGTTTTATAGGATGTAGAGGAACTCCCTGCTCATAGGCATTTCGGCAAACCATAAAGCCTCCGTGGATGCGCTCCGCAGGGATTGATACCATCAAATATGCATATCTTCCATCTTCTAACTTCAGAGTGTTAACAAAATGACGCTCAGTAGCTTTATTCCAAAAGAACAACCGGCGGTCTGTTTAAATCAGTGAGCTAACACCTCTAAATTTTCTATCCATCAATATAACATTCTAAAATTCTATATTGTGTCTAAATATGTACTTTTCCGAATAGAGCTATTATTATTATCATCATTATTAATGTTATTATTCAAATCTTTACTGTTACCCAACTTTTGCAACATGGAACAATCAACAAATAAAGTGCGTTCACTTTCGTTTTTCAATATATTTGGTTTTCATTTGAGGGACTGTCTGGTACGCAGTCTCCATGGCGTATGTCCAATCAATCTCCACTCACCATTCGGTATCTTTGTTGCGTGATAAGTTCTTGGTTGGTTTACTGCACTGTCAGAGTTCCTCATTGCTTATCCTTTCTCACCATCTGATGTTCAGTGTGTGTGTGTGGTGGGGGAGAAGGCAGCTCTGTTTATGTAAGTCTGCAGTAACCTGTCGGAGATCCATTTCGTGACGAGGGCGCTCACATGCACGCAAGCAAAATCTCTGAACCATATAGAAGAACACTGACTTATTAACATCTTGTTCTTTATGCTAAAGTGCAGCAGATTTCCACACTCACTTCAGAATAATGAAGATCTGTCTAGCTTAAATTAAACCTGGCCTTGACATCCTCCTCATCTGTATCACTGCCGCCGCCGCCTGTAGTTGAAACAACGCTGTCTAGATAAGTCAAAAGGGGGTGCTTGTCTTTAAATTTCTCTCGATAATAGACAGAAATAAAATACCATCAACACAGCTTGAAGTATTTCATGACATGACACACACACACACACACATGAAAACGTGTTAAATTTTGATTTATTAGTAAAAACCAACATATGAGACTACTGGACATGTAGCACAGATGTATTACAGTTGCATAAATAGCCAATAATATCAAGTTTATCACGTACAGGTGGAGAGGTCAACAACAGAAAAGACACAGAAGTAAGAAAAAGAGATCAATAATGATACGTTGGATTATAAGCTACTTGATGATATGACAAAGGTGAGATCGGTTCTAGGCCAAATTATCTATTTACCTACCTATAAACATTGTTTCAGGCAGTTTAGTTAGTACACACTTCATCTACAAACCATTGTTTTAACATAGCTAAGAGTAGACCAGTTTATTAGGATATTTCATAAAAGACAAGAAATTACTACCACATTATGCATGTTTTATTCGTGTTTTTTTCCGAATCACTTACCCTTTTTGAGTAACTGACGTGCAACTGACATCCAACTCTTCTAGTTGACGACAATTAGTAGCCAATACTTCCATAGTTAAATCACCGACAGCAGCTAGACCGCATAAGTCTAAAACACGTAAACGTGGCAGAAGACGTAGCATTTGAGCTATGCCTGTTTCACGTTTTAACGAATGCATATTAGCTAGGACAACTTCTTCTAAATGAGGACATTTTGCTGCTAATTGTGAAAGATTATCATCATCACTGAAGGTTTGTGTTCCGCGTAAGTCAAGAGACGACAGATGAGGTAACTAGAGAGAGAGAGAGAATGAGAGAGTAAAAAAATACAAAAATAGGAAGAAATGACTAATTAATTAACTGGAAAATTTTGGTTTTTCTTTGGATTTTCATCCATAAAACACCTGGTACGACTGAGGGTGGAGGATAGATTTCAGCCTTCCTTTCGAAATACTCATATGGTCAAGCGATCACAGCCTCTGCCAGGTGGGTCCTATTCAATGAATTCACTTGCCGCAGGTGTTCCTCACAAAAGTGAAAGGGCAATAGTGAACGTCTTGCACTTACAGCCACCGTACTGATGGTTCTCAATGAACAAATGCATCCACTCCTTGTGATTAGATTCCAATGAACTATGTTTTCTTCGTTATTACTTTCCTTTGTCTCACACCTCTGTTTACTGTCTATATTATGCATTTCTTCTACTTTCTTCTCTTGCTTTGTGTGCTACATGGAGTGTGGCAACTTGAACTGCGCACATATGTGCAAAGTTTTGTGAATACAGACAGACAGGAATCCACGTCTAGCTAGGGAAGGCTTGAAAACCTTAATTCTAATACGACGGTGTACAATGGTCCCAGAATCCAAAAGGAAGGAATGATAATATAAAGTTGTCTCGGTCACCGGAAACTATGGGAACGCAATCTCTGACGCTGCTCCACTGCCGTTGTGGATCCGACGGCTCGGAGGTGGTCCCTTAAAACAGCCACTTGCTTTGGTCTGGGCGTTCGAGTAGCATCCCAGCGCACAAATTAACTATGAGATTTTGTGTGCGGCATATTTCTTGGTGTCTGTAAGGTATCAAAGTTTGTGTTTTAATGAAGAAATATTTGGTTTCGATCACTTTCACTAACAATGAAACATCGGTTATGTATGATATAACCTAACATCAAATTGGATGCGTATTAAAAGCTTAACAATAAGGCTAAATTATGACCAGATTAGAGTACAAAATTGACCTGTCTAAATAACAGACGAACTGTTTTCTTTTCGCAAGCACCTTATTACAATGATTTATATTTACAAAAACTGATATTATTTTAAGGAAAACAATCGAATTAAACAAAAGTATAACAAGATGCTATGCGTCCTTTGGTTCACTGCAAAAATGCTCGCCAACTACACAGGCGGTCGGGTTCAATTCACCCTCCCAACAGCCAATCAGCTCAATGAGCTGAATTAAACCCAATCCACCGTTGGTGAGCTCTGCCTCAAACGAGTGAAATGGCCGTCAGGTGTTCAGATCACTTTGATCCGTGCAGCAAGTGCTAGTCGTATCCAACTACTCGCCTTGACTAGTAGTATACACCGTCGTCAATCTATGCTTTTGATTTCAAGATTGCCATTTATGCTATCAAGCAGATTAATCACACATTATGGTATGAATTATTTCGGTTTCCAAAGGATACAGCTGTGGTGGTGAAACTGCACCTCCTCAAACTGTGTAGACTATAGATCGTGCATTCATTTGCAAATTATGGATCATAATAATAATTACTATTATTATTAGAATTGTTTCCTTTAGTTCCTAGAGGAACATAAAGCTTCAGCTGCACATCTCCATTGCGTTCGATTCTCTGGATACACGTCTGCCCACATGCTTTCATCTCTTCGCATGACCTCCTCCATGTCACCCTCAGACGACCATTGGGGTTCCATTCGAGCGATGGCTTGGCGTGTGATGTCACTTGATGGTTTGTTTTCTCAGAGTATGGCCAACCCACCTCCATTTCTTCCTGCATACTTGTCGCACAATCGGTTCTTGCTGGGTTGGTTCGCTCCCAGAGATCCCTGTTGTTGATCTTCTCTGGTCATCTCATCTTGAGTATTGAGCTGTTGATGAAAGTCTGTAGTTTATTCGAAGTGCCCTTCGTGACGCGCAGTGCAAGTCTCTGATCCGTATAGTAAGTAGCAATGACTTCACACTAGGGTTGAAAATGCAGATCTTATTTTTCATGCTGAGTGCTGTTGACCTCCACAAAGACTTGAGAGGAATGAAAGCTTGCCTTGCTTTCCCGATCCTCGCTTTGATATCCTCATCAGTTCCATCCGCCTGTAGTTGAAACGATGCTTCCCAGATGGGTAGGTAGGTGAAGGAGGTTGCTTGTTTCAGATTTCTCCCATTTATGCTGATTGTTGTTGCAGTTGGTCAGGAATCTTAACCACCTCTGTTTTCTCTATGGAGCACAATATGTAGGGCTTATTGCTAAGTGTTGATGAGTAACACATATACACAACATAATATACGGTGAAAACGGGGGAGGGGGAAGTATCAACTCACCTTGCTTACAAGTTCCAGTAGACCATCTGATGATAAATGATGTAGATGTCCGAAAGCTAGTGCTCTCAACTCTTGACAACGACTCAGCAGAGAAAAAATACTTGAATTTAAACGGAAACAGCCAAATAACTCCAAACGTTCCTTTATGAAAGATAAAGAACAAAAGCAGATAGAAAGAGCCATAAATGGATAATGAAAGAAAAACACACATACACACACATGAGTAATAAACGAGTATTAGTCAAAACTCTGTTTTGCACAGCTAGGAGAATATGCTCTACCGACAAAGTAGAGAAGGAATTTCTGTCACCCTAAAAGATGTTGCAAAACAACGATTACCTTCAGAAATTCATTAACACGTGTGGAAGATGTGAAGGTTTAAATGACAAAAAACAAATACACAGTGGGAAGGAAGCCTATTTTCATACAGATCAATTTCAAAGGTGATAATATTGTAGGAATAGTCAACAGAAGATTGAATACGTCACTAGCCAGAGCATACTCGGCAGGGAAGTTGGTTCCCACTTGTCGGAAAACATGCTGTTTATTGCAACCATAGATCGACAGATACCCCTATGTTAGCTCTGTGTATACAAATTTACACGTATCTGCAGTAGCAATTACACTGTGGGAACGGAAAGAAGAGCACACCTTGGATTTTATAAACATGTACCAAAAGCTTACGTCTCACTCAAAGGAACAAACACTCTCAATACAGCTATTGACAAGCATCTCGTGTCATGAGGTAAATATCACAAAATCTTTTAAAATTGCATGGAGGATTTCATCATGAGCTGACATCAGTTAGAGAACCACTGGAAAACCTAGGAGTACTGGACAGTTGTTTCGTCCTAGTTTGGGACTCTTCATCAGTACGCACCCCCGGGGTTCGAACCAAGGACCTTCTGGTTACAAGGCCAACGAGCTCGTAGACCATTAAGCCACTGGGACCCGATCCAATGGCCAGTCCATGAATTTTAACTTCTGCCAATTCACGACATAGCGCGACCATTTCGCAATGTCTTCTTCGATGAGTTACTGCCTCATCTTCAACCTGCTGTACCCTACTGGTCATGGTTTCCCAGTGGTTCTCTAACTGATGTCAGCTCATGATGAAATCCTCCATCCAATCAAACATTAATATACACCAAATCTACTAACTAATAAAAAGTAAATCACGTGACGAGAAAGTTTAAAATCCAAGTCAATAAAAAATGATCAATACAGATGTAAATCGACTACCAGTCACGAAGATGGTTGGTTGCCACGAGACACAATTCTATCATTCATGGAGAATTTAAAACTTGCGCTGAAGGGGGATGTTGTCCAGAAGGACGACGAAAGCTCCGCGATTAAACCAACCAGCTAGCTCAGAGAACACAACTAATTGCAAATCACCCACCTGAGCCACAAATCTTCTCTAATACTTGTCTTTATTACGTTGCTCTTTCGACATTGTATTCAAGCACTTATTTTTCGTCTTAACTTGAACCTTCTGAGTATAAACTACAATAAGGGTAATTTTCTGAGCACTTTTAAGTTTGAAATTTCCTGTCAGTAACTGACATCATGTCACACATTAAGCAAGTATGTCAAAACCATTCTGTACATAAACTTTAGGCTGCACGCAGTTGATGAATTACGGACGCAATAAGTGATGCTACAATCTTCTTCTGTACACAACACAGTTATTTTCGCTTTATTCATATTCTCACATGAAGGGGAGTAAGTGTATGAAGAAACATTAATAATCAGCTTGTTAGAAATGTGTATGCACAGGAAACATCATATGACCCCTTACTGCTTTTTATTCTTGGTTACATTACATTACAACATTAAACTTTTCAATTGCTAGAATACACTTCCTTCTTTCTAAGCGTTATCCACGTTTTCAACACACACACATACACACACAAACCCGCATATGAATCAAGTTTTGGCCACCTTGAGCATGTGAAATAGGAATGGTGTAATCACATGTATGAGGCATTCTTACTACGTATGCATGCATATTTAATCATGCAAACAAAAAATGTTCAAGGACAAATGAAGTTCCGTTTAACAACACATCAAAGAAGGTTGAAGTTCCTCGTAAAATCAACAAAGGCGTCACACATTAATTGTATTATTTAATAACTATATGTTCATCAATTACTAAAACTCAATAGGCCCGTTTGGCATATGCCAAATTACGCCATCTCTGGAGTAGATGTGATATCCGGCTGTCGACCAAAGGGCGTGTGTACCGCTCGGCAAGCAGTTCGGTCCATCGACCTATATGACTGGCTGTCAGTGAGACATGGAAAGACCGGTTAGTTGCTCTGGATCGTAGGTGTCTGTGTATTCTATCTCCCGTGTTCGGTGGTAGGTATAATAGAGTGAGCAATATTGAGGTTAGGCTTCATTCGAGTGCTAGGTAAGGAGGGGAAATCAACTGATGAGGTTGCGTAACTACACCGATTGAGATGGTTAGGACATGTATTACGCATGTCTAGCCATCGCCTTCCTCAACGGAGAATATTAGATGACTGACATGGGATCAGGTTGGAAAAGAGACAGCTAGTGGTGGTCAAATGAAAACATGGCTTCATCAGTCAATGAAATCCACAACATTTAGTTTAAGCCAGCTGCCACGTAGGGAGGTGTAGACTGACTTCCTGGTTGGGGTCTTCGGGATGGTAAAAACCAATGGCGGCGGGAGACAATCGGTGATATGGCTCAAAATCGCTCTCAATGGCGCAGATGCATCCACTCTTTGTGATTTATAATTTCCAATAAAACTTTATTGTATTTCCGTATTACTATTCTTTTGGCCTAACACTTTTGTTTATTATCTCTCTTTTGAATCTCTCTTCTCCTATTTTGTATGCTACATGGAGTGTGGTAACTCAAACTGCTGCACCTCCATGCAAAGTTCTAAGTTGAAACCGACCAGTCATTCAGTCAGTCCAAACTCAATAGAAGAATAGTCTTTCTTCATCATTTGCTGTGAAAGTATAGTAGTGGCTTTCAACATCCTTCTAGGGTAAGAATTATCAGTGTGTAAAAATCTACTGTACTTAGCATAAAAAGAACAGGAGCTGAATTCTGCTTAGCACTGATGTCCAGTCAGTGCTTCATATATAAGGTTAAATAAAACACCTGGCGCGGAGGCCACATTGAAGCATTTCCAACAGGCCCTACTGAACATTTTCATTAACCGCTACCTTCCTTTGCTGCCTCGATACTGAAGATCAGATGATGGTCAACCAGGAAGAAAGAATAAGCTACAACAACAAAAAACTCTGGCAAGTGGCGAACCAAGCGAACCAAGTGACCCTACTGATAAACAAATATATGCAGAATGAAACGGAGACGGGTTGGACACATGTTGAGGATACCGTTGAGTAACATCGCACACCACAGGTTGTCGAGTGGAGTGCGAATGAGACAATGTGCGTTTGATTTAGGTCCAAGGGTGACATGGAGAAGCTGGTGTGAGGAGGAGATAAACGCTTACGGGTAATCGTGAAGACAGATAATGAAGACTGAAGAGAACACAGTGAAATGGAGATATGCTATTGAAACCCTATGTTCCACTCGGAACCCTAGGGAAAAATAACAATGCTTTTACAGTCTCTATTATATTTGATGCATTTCACCATTGGCAAGAAATCTTACCTGAAATCTATTCCGAAGTAATAACTAACCTGTTACTCTCCTATAGATAAGTGGAGGTCTAAGTTCTCGACTTACAGCCAACAAAGGGTCCCGAATTCGAAGCTCAAACCGTCTACTTCAGCGTGGTCACATAATAGGCATGGAGGATAGATAAACTGGTACATGAGAAACCTGTTCCAAGCAAACGAGTTCCAAGGACAACAGGCAAGATATTAGTCTACAGGTAATTCATTATTACAACAACAACAACAAAGAGAGCCTTATTGTGAAACGACACTCTGGAATACGCACCGGTGGTGTAGCGGTAGGATGCTCGCGCCAACCATGCCACAACACGTGGTTCAGAGTTCGATTCCCAGGCGACACACTCCTAAACCTTGCATGGCGAGTAGTAAGCCCTATTAAAGAGGGAAGATTGAGTGTGGTGCTAGCAACCGAGTCTCATAAGAAAGAATAACACCACTGCTACTGAAACACCAAAGCTCACAGTTCGAAGCCCTATGTTCCACTCAGAACAGAATGCAGTACAGAATTATCACTATGAAATATGGTGAAATCTTCACTATTTTTGTAAAACAAAGTATCAAGAAAAGCACAGATAATAACAGTGGAAAAAAGTCACTCGCTCGAGTTATACAGATATATTTTAAGGCATGTTTAAATTCGCTAGGGTAATGGATATCTTCTGTCAGTGTTGGTGAACATTGAATAGTTTGTTTGTTTGTTCGAACTGGTCTCCATTTGGAGGGAGACAAGAAGGCTGTCATCGCTTAATTGTATACTGGTTGGCAGAAGATTGGAGAAATACGATCAGAAGTATTGTTGTAATATTATATTAACGTTTATTTACAGACTTCAGCACTGATTAACCACTGTATATCCGTTTCGTTATCGCTTGAAGAATAAATAACCGTGTTGCCTAACCGTTTTCTGTTATTCCGTGTCGCCCCTGTAAAATGTAAGATGCTGCTACAGGACTGGACTACGTCAACCCCTAGTTAGTGATAGGGAGTGAAGTGACAGAACATGTTGACCACTTCACCTATTTGGGAAGTTGTATCAGCACCAACGGATTGATTGGTGACGAAATCTCAGCACGGATCCAAAAAGCTCGGGCTGCTTTCGCTAACTTACACCATCTCTGGCGTAGGCGTGACATCCGACTATCAACCAAGGGACGTGTGTACTGCTCAGCAGTTCGCTCCGTCCTTCTCTATGGCTCTGAAACATGACCAATATGAGTTGAAGACATGAAAAGGTTGACTGTTTTTGACCACAGATGTTTACGATCTCTTTCTCACGTTAGGTGGCATAATAAGGTAAATAATGATGACGTTAGGCGTAGAGTGTTGGGCAAAGAGGGGAAATCAATCGAAGAGGCTATAAAGTTACATAGATTGAGATGGCTAGGTCACGTGCTGCGCATGCCTAACCGTCGCCTTCCCCGACGGGCATTACTAGCTGATATAGGTGCAGGTTGGAAAAGAGTAAGTGGTGGCCAAACAAAAACATGGCCTCATCAAGCCATGAAATCCTTGACAGTTAAACTGAGTCAGGTAGGGAGGGAGATGCAGACTTCCGGGTTGGGGCCCTCGGGACTCTAAGAATCAATCAACGGCTGGAGACAATAGGTGACATGGCTCAAAATCGTTGTCAATGGCTTACGCAGATGTATTCAGTCTCTGTAATCTTTCATATTCCTTTCTACCATTACTCATTCCGTTTCACTCTTATACTTGTCAAAACTCTATTGATTCTCTTCACTCATTTTCTTGTCTACCTTTGTGTGCTATTTGGAACGTGGTAACTGGAACTGCTGCACTTCGGTGCCAAGTTCTATGTTGAATCCAGACAGAGACAGAGCACTCTACGACCCTGTCAGGGACCCCTAGGTTACGAGACCATCTCGCTCACTTGGGTTGGAATTCAGTGACCCGTAAATTATAACTTTGTCAACTCCATGAAGGTCCTGGGTGTGTACTGCTGAAGGCTGCCAAACTAGGACCAAAACAGATGTCCAGTGCTCTCTGGTCTTTAGTGATCCCCCTGAGTGGTGTTGGTTCGTGTGATGAAGTCTAACAATTGAGATCAAAAACCAGGGAGTACTGGACAGCCAGCTGTTTCATCCTAGTTTGGGAATCATCGGCAGTACGCACCCACTGCCAGGGTTCGAACCCAGGACCTTCCGGTTACAAGGCAAGCTCGTACTGTCGATGATTCCCAAACTAGGATGAAACAGCTGGCTGTCCAGTACTCCAGTGCTGGTTTTCAATGCTTCTCTAACTGATATCAATCCGTGATCAACTCGAAAAAAAAGCAAAACTAACCCTTACAAACCAAACTATAGAAAATTGAAATTAATCCAAATTCTTACGCAACACACACACAACCTATAATTTAAAAAAACAAAAATTATTTACCTACTGTTAACAACTTACAAGAGTACGTTGATGATAATGTACTAATTGTTGTATAGCAGCATTACTTATTTGTTGAGCACCGTTCAACTTTACACTAATCAAGTGTGTAGCAGATTTGGCCAGCGCGATAACAGTTTGATCACGTACAGCTTGTGTATAACTTGCATTGACATGCTTTAAATTATGACAATGATCTGCAACTAATCGTAACGGTAGATCATGATCGAATGGGCCTTTAGTACAACCGATTAGAGAGAGTTTCTGCAACCCTGGACCACATACAAGAAACATACGTTTCAATCCTAAAACAAAACAAAAACAAGAAAAAATAATAGAAATAAATCATAATGTGATATGAATTTTTAAAAAAATATTACTAGTTAGCAGCTTTAAGCAACAAGTTTATTATAAGTGTGATACATGTATAGTTTTGTAATGGTGACACACACGTAAACTAGTGATACACACTTGGGCGTGGCAGCACATCTCGTAGTTAATTTTTTTAAAACCCACACGTTTTTCTCAGAGATATCTCTCTTCTCAAAAAATAGAACAAAATTGAAATGTAGAAAGGATTTAAAATAAGGAGTAGAATGGAAATCATCTCTATCTCCCAACCAGCCCCACAGTCTCACATCATTAAGAAAACTGGTGTTTTGGGTTTGAATATCTACTCAAATAACAGCCATGTAAAATTTGACCTTTCATCAAGTTTTAAAAGTACAACACTATGATGAATATTCAAGTATTGGTTTGTAGGGATTTGGTTGATTGGTTACAGGATTTCATCATGAGCTGACATTGGTTAGAGAACCACTGGAAAACCTGAGAGTACTGGACAACTGTTTCGTCCTAGTTTGGGACTCTTCATCAGTACGTACCCACTGGGGTTCAAACCCAGGACTTTCTGGTTACAAGGCGAGCTCGCATACCATTAAGCCACTGGGACCCGATCCAATGGCCCATGAATTATAACTTCTGCCAATTCACGATATAGCGCAACCGCTAGCCAATGTCTTCGGCGAGTATTTGTCCTCACACTACGATGAATGCATTTCGACACATATTACATGAGTAATTAATTAATTGTTTCAAAGAAAGCTGTCTACATCAATCTGTCATTTAAAGAGGATGATGATATGTAGGCAGTCGAACGAAAACTTCATAAAACTATCAAGAGAACTTATTATGCTGCAAAACTCGTCCTCCTTAACACCACCACCACCACCAAGCCGGGGTGCTTCACAAATCTGGGAAATACCTGTGGTTAATCCTTGACACTTCAAACTGTCTATATCAATTTGAGTGTGTTTGTCGAATGACACAAATATATAGGTTGTACAGAAAGGTGATTGTCTACCCAATCTCACATGATGGAGTATTTGCGCAAGTGGTTAAAAAAAAGGCTGAAATCAGAGTAGTACTAAAAAGTTCAATAATAAGGCCTCTTATAGACTACAGATAGGATATTGATACGCTGTCAAGTCATTCACTGTTATCAGCGAGCAGACAAACAACCAGAAAGATACTTGCAACTAAGATGGCTTGTGAAATTAAAGTTTGTAAACCAGGTCTCTGTGTACAGAAGAAAAAGAGGAACACTCTGAATCCTACTTATTAACCGTTGTTATTATTATATTTCAGTATTATTGACTTATTTGAAACTGTTTTCTCAGTACCATTGTAGTGACAGCTGTCTGCTAGCCAAAATCGTAGACAGCAATTTACGTCAATGTTTACGTTCCGAATTGGCGTCATGAGAAAAACCAATAACAAAGCTTAACCTTGAGGAGCTCAACAACCAATCAAAGTAGACTTTACGTGTGCAAATACGATTCGCAGATATATGGCTTAAATTTCTAAGAAACGGTCACAAGCAGTACAGAATATAACCTTCAGCAAGAAAACAACTGATCCGAAGACGTTGCTTCTCTGCTGACAACAATGTACATCAAAATCTATAAATATCTGTTGATTTTCTCAATAAACGATCAGTTGCCTGGCCCTTGTCTTCCGTCGTTACACCCTTATTTTAACTTGTTTCACAGTTTCAATTTCTTACACCTTTAAGCTCTTTCCCTGATAACTAATTGTCTATTTAAAATGATATCACTGAACCATAATCCATTATAATCTTACTTAACTTTAAGTGTCTCTCGTACACCTTTTTTTCCTCATATCTATCTAAACTTCACTTGTAAAACATTCGCAACTGACCAATTTGCAAATTAAAATTTGTAATTTACACAGTTCAAGGAGGTGCAAAATTTCCCTCACAGTTGTATCCCCTTTGGAAATCAAAATGATTCACACCACCAAAATATGTGATTGATCCACTTGATTGATACCAAAAGTGGTAGTCCAGAAAGCAAGCACCAATGCATGCATGAAAGAATATATACTACCATATTATTGATTGAGATGAGTAGTTGGATAACTATTCATCATATATCAACGAGTACTAGCCAGATTGAAATGATCTAAACGCTGGACGGCCGTTTCGACTCGAGCTCTCATCAGTCGTGGTACCCGGTTTGACTGGGTACTGAATTATTATTACTATTTCCTAGCGTTCCGAGTGGAATATAGGGCTTCAACAACACATCTACACTTTGTTCTATTTTCTGCCGTCCTCTCCAGCTGGGTCCACGATTGGCCATAATCTCTCACCTCTTCCTCACACGATCTCCTCCATGTCACCCTCGCACCGACGACCCACTCGTCGCTTCCCATTTGGATTCCACTCGAGGGCCCGGCGTGCGATGTCATTCGGCGGCCTCCTCAATGTATGCCCGATCCATCTACACTTTCTACATATTTGTTGAGCGATCGGCTCTTGGTTGGTTTGTTCATCGCCAGAGTTTCTTGTCGCTAATTCGTTCTGGTCATTTGATCTTCAGTATGGAGCCAGCCAGCGAAGGCAGCTGTTGATGAAAGTCTGTAACTTGTTTGAAATCCTTTTCGTGACACGCAGTGCAAGTTTCTGACCCGTATAGAAGATGACTGACTTGACATTGGTGTTGAAAATCCGAATCTTGTTTTTCATCTGAGTGAGTACAGAAGATTTCCAAACTGGTTTCAGGTTGATGAAGGCATATCTTGCCTTTCCGATTCTGACTGGCTTTGACATCCTCATCGATTTCGCCTGCAGTTTAATCGATGCTTACTAGATAAATGAAGGAATTAACCTCTGTTAAACCTCTCCCGTTGATGGTAATTGGTACTGGTTGGTGTTGTTGTTGTTGCTGTTCGTTGGTTGGTTATCTTCATCACCTCCGTCTTCTCCATGTTCCCCTGGAGTCCTGTCTTCGCTGTCTCCCTGCCTCTTCTGCCAGTTTGTTGGTTTTTGCCTTCAAGTCTTCGAGTTTATGTGACATTAGAGATATATCATCTGCGAAATCCAGATCTTATAGAGTCTTATTACCCGTCAGTTCAGCGTATTCCTGTCTTCTCACTCTCAACGCACAGTCTGACGCATTATCCAGTCCATCATAATTAAGAATATCATCGGTGATAATAGGCAGCCAGCTTGTCTTACTCCCGTATGTACTTCGAACGCCTCGCTGAGTTTTCCGTTGTGGATCATGAGTACACAAATACTAATCTCAGTGCGTCGGTGGCACAGTGTTCAGGAGTCTCGCCGACCATGCACATGGTCCAGGGTTCGATCCCCTGCCGACGCACACTGTGATTGGGCTACCGATATCCAGCTGAAAATTCCATACTTGTACTGAAAATACGGTGTGGCATCAAGCTGTAATCAAAAATTTAAAAAATCAACTTGGTATATATATAGAAAAAAATTATCGTTTTAACTGTTATCATCATTGGAAAGTGGTTACAGTGAGTGACTTACCAGAAGCAGTTAAACTATCCCCACGACAATATGTAAACCGTAGTTCTCTGGGTTTAAGATTACCAATTCTTACTAAATCAGCATCAGTTAAATTATGCTGTCGATGTAAGTGAATAACACGCCACAAGGAACGATCCATTGAAAGTCGGAATAAATGACGACAGGTTTGAGCAACACGAACACGATCTACTGGAGTTCCATACCGGAGTACTTCAAGCCATAATTCATCTGGTAAGAGTAACCAATTAGGTGATGAGACGCTATTTTCCCTTTCTATTTTATCTATTGGATCATCAGTGCGAAGAATACTTGCAATTACCTATATTTTAAAACAAATTTGAAAAAATACTGTTAACTTGCAGAATTTGTATATATTGAAATTAAAAATAGCGACTTTTAAATGTGATTAGAAAACTGAACTGAGGCCAAAATGTTAGGCCTCTGTGTTGACTTATCAGCTTCCAGTACGGATAGTTTGACAATGTCTGAAGATTAACATGAAGTAATTTAGTGGATAGTTGACTAGCAGTGGAATCTAGGATGAGCATTTCGTCCTATTTAGGACTCGTCAGCAAGTCGGGGGGACGTAAATGCAATCCCCAATGAGTGATGCTGTTCTCACCGAGACTCAAACCAAGTACTCTTTCTTTAAAACGTTACAGCATTATCCACTGGATCACTTGGACCACCCTCTCATACGAAGGACATCAGTCATTATCTGCTTTTAAATTAATTTTTCCGCTGATTGGTTGGACCAAAGCGTCCGGCCGAAGAAGAAGAGATGAGCCACCTCTGATGACGGGTTGATCTCTGACGAACTCTCAGTACGAATACAGAAGGCTAGTTTCGCATATGCCAGTTTACGCCGTCTCTGGCGTAGACGTGATATCCGACTATCGACCAAAGGGCGGGTGTACTGCTCATCAGTCCACTCCGTCCTCCTTTATGGCTGTGAGACCTGGCCATTGAGAGCGGAAGACATGAAAAGATTAGCTGTGTTCGATCATAGGTGTCTGCGTTCTATCTCCCGTGTGAAGTGGCATAATAAGGTGAGCAATATTGAGGTTAGGCGTCGAGTGCTAGGTAAGGAGGGGAAATCAATCGACGAGGCTGTGAAATTACATCGACTGAGATGGTTAGGACATGTGTTACGTATGCCTAGTCATCGCCTTCCTCGACGGGCAATGTTAACTGACATAGGGTCAGGCTGGAAAAGAGCTAGCGGCGGTCAAACGAAAACATGCAGTCAATGAAATCCACAACAGTTAGTTTAAGCCACGTAGGAAGGTGTAGATTGGCTTTCTGGTTGGGGTTCTCGTGACGGTTAAAACCAATGGCTGGAAACAATTGGTGACATGGCTCAAAATCGTTCTCAATGGAACAGATGCATCCACTCCTTGTGACTTATGATTTCCAATAAAACTATATTGTTCTTCGTTAATACTATCCCTTTTGTCTCGTATCCCTGTCTACTGTCTCCATTTTGCATTTCTTCTAGTTTCTTCTCTTGATCTGTGTGCTACATGGAGTGTGGCGACTTGAACTGCCGCACATCGGTGCAAAGTTCTATGTCGAATACAGACAAACAGATGGCTTAATGACGACTCCCAAAGAGGATGAAATACCCATCCTGGATCCAATTGCCAGTCACCACGCACCGAATTACCTAGTGATTCAAAAACACCTGCTGGAGAAGATTGAATTTAGGTCATTATCCTACAGATACCAACAACGTGGTAATTAATGGCAGACACCTATTGATGTGACAATTATATAGTATGGCCAGAAATTAATGGAACCAGTAGGTGAGAGCAATGTAAAAAAGCCAAGTATGACATGTAAGTGTCTGTTAAAGTAGTCTTAAACTTCCGTCACTACTAACCACGCCTAAATTTAATGCAAGAAAGTAGAATTACAATGGAAAAGAATGAAGATCAATCGAGCGAAAAAGGCATTCGGCTGTTTGTCTAAGTTGCGTAGGTTTTTCAGATTGTTAAAAGTAACTTTGTACACCATCTCTCTCAACAACCACAACAACAACAACAAAAACGCCAAAACGAATGAATATACTACAGAAGTACATCTAAAAAATATGATATAATCGCCGTGAATCATTTCGAACAGTTGGCATAATTTTAGTCCAATAGTGTTCTTCAGTAACTGACTACCTGATAGACTGAGTTACAACGTAGAAATATAAGCACAGAAGTGTAGCTCCTTTAAGTTGTCGCACTCCACGTAGCGACGCACACAAATTTAGAGAAAAGAGAGGAAAACGAGATTGAAAAATACATGAGAGATTACAAAAAGTAAATGTATCTAAGCCAATGAGAACAATTCAGAACCATATTATCGATAGTCTGAAACCAATGGATCCTAGTGTCTCCAGCACCCTAACCATATATAGTCTACGCCACCCTGGAAGACTTCACGGATTGATGCCCTCTTTCCGTTTGACCCCACCTACTCCAACCTAAATCTATGTCTGCTAAGATTGCTCGACAAGCAAGGCGATAAGCTCGATACGTGTAACTGTAACACGTGTCCTAGACATCTCAATCGATGATGCTTTACAACCTTAACGGTCAACTTCCTCTACATTCTACCACAGAGCATAATTACTTATCACGTTATTCTACAAAACATGACAACTATGGTACAAAAAAACTTCAATATTTCTACATATTATATGACGAGCATAAATAATTTACAGCGTCAGTTTAGCACTTAACAAGTCAGTTTCGTGAAAGAAGACAGGCTGATTCAATATACACCAAAAAAAGGTTTTGTAGAAGGCACCTTAACTCGAATTAACTGTAAAACAGTTTCACACATGAAAGGAAATTGTTTTAACCCACCACACACACAACAAAAGTAGGAAAAAAAAGGGGGTACTTTGGAGATGAAATACCTCTTTTGGTAAATTAGCAATGGAATGATTTGTTGTTGTTGCTGCTGCTGCTACTGATGACGAAGTATCTGTACTGATACTTAAACTCTTTGATATATAACCACGATTACGTCTTCTTACAGGATGGGAACGATTTGACTTGGAATACTTGTCACCACCACTGCCTTCTGGACGACCGTGTAGAGATGATCTCAGGGCATTGTTCAACTCTCCTCTTCTTTGATTAAATGGATGATTAGTATTTGTACATGAATTAGGCTGGCATTGAGATTTTTCCGATTGAATGTTTGAATTGCTTTGTTTTCTGTCAACAAAGAACCAAAAACAGAGTTGAACATTAAGGCATTTTCTTCAGTGCAACAGATACAGATCACATTTCTGCGTGAATAAATAAGACAATGGTACAGTGGTACAATATCTCTTGATGTCATAACTTTAGAGTGAATTTTCCACTAAACAGCACGGAACTCCTGAAATCACCAAGGTGGCGCGATGTAGGTGTGACCAAATTACTCATACTGCACTTCATTCCCGGTGAGCAAAAATGAAGGATTACTTAACAAGCCCTTGTAATTCCACGCCATACACCTATTGTGTGTGTGTGTGTGCGGGTTAAATGTGACACTACCTGGTTAAACAAAACTCAGTAGGTGAAACAGGATTCAAACCCATGACCCACGTGTTTGGAAGTCAAGCAACTAGACCTATGAGCCAAAGCTCCGTATACCTAACTTTATTGTTTACGGACTTTCTTTAAAAATTGAAATGTATTATACAACATTAGTAAAGCCGTAAATAAACAAGATGACTACAAATCAACCATTAATTTTACGTGTTCATTTGTACTAGAAATTCAGAATGACAAGTACAATATTATATATACACCACTCTACAGTCTAATATGGAACTGACTTGTACGCCTATAAAAGTGTGTGAGCGGTTATTACTTCCCAGTTGCCCGCACCATAGTAGTCGATTTCTTCTTGAGATGCCAGAAACAAGAGGAGCAGTAATGTTGCGTGACCGCAGAGCCCAAGGGGTCAACTACTGGAGGTTGGTCACACACACACACACAAAACCTGTTTGAAGTGGTTTTTGGTATTGCGTCCGTTATTAAGACCTTAGCACCGGGCTACGGACCACCACAAGGTACATCGGGGCAATTTTCGGGATCGACCATTTTTAACCCCACCCCCCTCCTTTCCAAGGCGCAAAGGCGACACAGCTGGTGCATACTGGCAATCCGATGGAAACACACCTTAATGCTGTTACATCCTTATCCTCCAGCAGTACGACTCAGCCCACACACCACCATCTACTATGACGCTATTTTCAGTCTAATTGCAATCCAAACAATCTTACCGGTACGATAGGATCTGCAGAAACATTAGTCCCAACCAAGGTAACTAGTTGGGTCATGGTGATATGCAAGCCCAACCACCACCAAGTCAAGATAGCAACTATCCGTTGGGAAACTGGTGATAAGAAGCGGCTAAAAATAGCAATCATCTTGTAACTCATGACCGTAGAATATCTATTTCCAAAGGAACTAGCCGAACTAATCGCCAGTATTTTCCACTGCCCTAACCAAATTGTAATGTGGTTAGAAATATACATATACACCATATGCTTTTTTCACAATTAAGTCGTATCCTAACAGTCAAGGGCCGGTTTTGGTCTTTACATATTTACGTGGCTCAGTGAAGCGGCAGCCACGTAGGACGAATAGGCGTATCTAGCATCTCAGTTGAGTTGTTCATTGTGTCAGTGTTATTTTATGCCCGTGTATAAGTCCACTCTGCCATATCAAATTGACGACGGCTCATAACAACTAATTAAAACGATTAAGCGTTGAAGGGTTGATAAAGTAGACAGAAAGTATACTATTTCCTAATGGTCACATAATTAGTGTTTATTCATTTTTTTAAGAAATATGTTCAAACAGGAACAGATTTCCTGCGCTAAGTATGGAAAGATTTGCTTTGTTTTGAATGGACATTAAGAATTTACATTTCTATGTAACATGATGGAACGGAGAACTCTACACTCATGTAACTATGCACTTAAAATTTACATACGTCAGAGAGAAAAAAACACTAGATGTTTTTCTATTCCAGCTCAAATACTTTTGTGCCTAATTTAGTATTACTATTGTTCCCCCTGGGTTCCGAGTAGAAAACACAGGATTTCAACAGCATATCTCCATTATTTCACACGGTCTCTGCAGTCTTTTTTTCAACTGGTTCCATGAATGCCCCTCTATGTCACTCTCATACCCACGACCATCTTGTCGCTCGCTTCTCATTCGGGTTCCACCATTCACGGGGCTTCGTGCCTAATACTATCGGCATTTTACATCACACTTATTTTTTACAGTGTAAGCCAATGAAAGTATTTAAAAAAAACTAATTAGCAAACAGAAAGATGAAAATGTTGGTGATTTAAAGATAGAATTGGGTCCCTCTACTATTTTAATTCGATTCTTAACTGTAGGGAATCTCGTTTCAAAAGTCAGACTATATTTTGCCCGAATGCATTTACCGATTTCTTTTGTGTCAGGTCATTTTATTGGCTTATGACTGTTAAGTATTCTTAATACAGACAAGGAAATACAGATTACAGTCAGTCTCAGTCTTTATTCAACAACTATTTGCGTTTACATGGAGTTGACAATGAGCCGCACTCATAGTGTGCTGGCGCTACTGTAACCAGTCGGCTGCCAAAACCTCGGTACGGTAATTGCAATGGGGTTTAGAAACCTGTGTCTTGACTGGCCGGAAGTCGAGCACCATAAATGATAAGTTACAGTCCCATACAGATTGTGGTACATTAGCCGCATTTGCCTTGAAGTCTGTTTTTAGCTGTCTAGAAAAAAACAACAGAAGCCTTCTTAAATGAACTGGTACGGCCGAAGATGGGTAGACTTCAGTTTCCCTCTCGAAATACTCTCATGTGGTTACGCGTTGAAAACCTCTGCCTTCACACGGCAGTGATGAATAGTTTCGCTAATAAAAGTGAATGCGTGAACGCGAACGTCTGGTGCTTACAAACCGACTAGTGAAAATTCTAGCCTACCTAGGGAACCTGGAAAACCCTAGTTACATTACAGGTTCTAGAATACGAAAGGACAGAATAGCGTATCAACCTGCTTTGGTCACTTTGGTCAACTGCGGGAATGTAGCTCCACTACATGATGGAGCATACTTCAAGTCAAAGGCTATGGGGTTGACGCATCTCTTGGCGGGTCAAGTTTGTTTTAATAATATAATAAGAATAATAAGAACAGAATCATTTGGGATGGATTACACCATGAAATAGTGACAAGAGATTGTGGGTCAAAGGTTTAGTGAAATAATTCAGAACAGTTCATCTATGAACTTATTTGTACATTTGCACTTATGATTCACACCGAATAATGGGTGCTCAGCGAACCACAAATAGCATTTCATAAAAAAGTTTATAACATGAGATACACGGTCGGAAACTCACATAACAGTATTGGGGGGTTCAAGTTGATCAGATGCAACATTTCCTTGACTATATGATGCAAGTAAATATGCAGCAGGTCTGAAGTATAAGAGAAACAAAATCGATTAAAACACTGAAACAAAATCAATATTTCATATAGAATGGAGTATTCTACTTAAATATCATAGAAAGTTGCCATAAGGGATTAAATTTACTCAAAATCTGTATTAATCCATTGTGGGGAAGTTAGATCATATAGGTGAATTCTAGTAGTGATCTCCGATAAATAAACAATAGACTTTAATAAATTAGGCTACAAATGTGTGAACCGTCAATCATGTAAAACTGGAACTTCTCTGATTTTCCTAAAAGTAGTTTGCAAAGCACGTGAAGCTAGAAGTTCAGTCAGCTGAAATCAACCTTAAACTGTTTTACAGTGTTGATTACCTAATTTTTCCTTGAACAATAGGTTAGAAATGAAAAGTAAATATACATGAGGCTTCCGAAATAACCATCCTTTGAAAGATGTCTGATTTTTTTCACATATTTCCTGGTCATCAACATGTCTGACTGACTGATTGAGTTTCAACATAGAACTTAGCACAGAAGTGCAGCAATTCAAGTTGCTACACCCCATGTAGCACACAAAGACAGACAAAAGGCAGGGCAAATAGACTTTTTTTAAACTATAATAAACAGGAATGTAGGGGAGAAAGAATAGCAACATGGGAAACCATGAGGGATTAATGGATATAGGAAATCATAGAGAGCGCCGTTGAGAACGATTTTGAGGCCATCTTACCAATATTCTCCAGCAGTCATTGTTAATTAGCATCCCGGGGGCCCCAATCAGATAGTCTGCACTTCCCTATGTGGCCAAAGACATTATGAAGTTCTAGCTCTTTTCCAACCTATTCCTAACATTGCCCATCAAGAATGTTATGACTCAGCATGTGTATATGTAGCTTCACAATCTAACTGACTGACTTCCCTTCTTACCTAACACTAAGCCCAACTTTAATAGTGCTCACCACAGTGTACCATTTAACAAGGGAGATTGAACGTAAACATATGAGGTCAAAGACAGACAGCCTTTTCATACCTTCCACTTTCAATGGTAAGGTCTCACAGTCAAAGCACGACATAGGAAACTGCTGTGCAGTACACACGTCCCTTGATCAATAGCCTGAAATCACGTCCACGTCAGGGATGGCGCAAATTAGCAACTGTAACACGAATCTGCTTTATCCACGCTGAGGATTTCGTCAGCAATCAGTCCATTAGGGCTGATGCAACGTCTCAAAGTGAATTAGTCGACATGCTCAACCACTTTGCTCCCTGTTTTTAAGCTAAAAGCCGGTCCAGTCCTGCAACAGCATCACCTTAGATCACATGTTAAACATTCGAAGATTTCTCCTCAAGGTGTTCACATGATTGGATTTTGTCACACTCTTCACCTAGGAGGACATTATCTGCACACTTTAAGCCAACAAGACTGTGCCCTGGTAACAAGTCAATTCCTAAGTCGCTAAAGTCAGTCGGGGTCAATCCCGTTAGTACATCAGTAATGAAATAGGAAAAGTTGACATGCCTGATGGACACTGCTAGTCGTCATCACTTTAGATGACAACTCTCAATACGCTGCGTGAGTGCAACATATCGTGTGACCGTTTCCATTTCATATTTATCCATTACACGAAGTGAGTTGGTCGTTGGCGTCATTGATAACTCCAATTATCATAAAGAAAAAATGACGCCTGTGACCTAACTTCGATTACGTTACACCAGTATGCAAACAAGGAAACAAGTACTGACTTTCATGGTAGAATGTTAGACCACTTCAATAAGCTAATCTTACAGTTATGTAAAAATAGGAACTGTCTAAATTCATCAGACTCCGGTATAATCAGTTAATTTCTGGGAAATCATCTTAAACATACTCCGAGTTAAAGATGGCATTAACAGAAATTATTGCAAGTGGTATATAGCTCACTTCTTTTTTAACACAGCAGGATCTTGAGCAGACCAAGCCCCTCTAGAAGACTGCCAATGTGTTCGAGGTTGAAGTTTAGCCGAATTCACATCCGTATGATTAGAGTCTTCGAAATCTGAACTGAAGCTTCGAGCACGGTACATGCCTGGATTTTGCACAGATGTTGAATTTTCCGTTCTGGAGCATTCAGATGGATGCTTACGACGACAGAACCCACCTCGCTTCTGAACACTGCTGTGTGACTTTGGAGGACTTTGACTCATAGGTCCCATTTCTTGAAATGGCCATAAATGATATGGTGATGGCTTAGAAGGAATACTATTATTAGCTGAAAGTGAAATTTGTGTCTCACGTAGGAGGTTAGCTACAACTTCAGATGCTGAAGCATCGGACCACGGGGTCTGTGAAAATGTGCAACTGTTATGAGAAGCATTATTTGACATTCTGACAGGTGAAGCATGACTAGTCAAACCGTAACTTGAAGGCACACTGTTAGCATGACACATATTTTGAGTATTAGTTGTCTTCTTTGGCTTGATAGGACCAGAAGTGCGACGTTGACGATATTCCGGAAAGTTATCAAATTGACAAAACTGATTACATTCAGTGTTATCACCATAATTTTCCGAATTCACTGCTGAGAAGTGCAACGAACCATTCTCTCTTGAACACGCATCTGTATTGATGTTGCAATCACTAGCACAATTTACATACTCCGCATTCCTTTGGAATTGATATCGTAGCTGATCTGTAGAAATGTTCGGAAACATACTAAAAACGTCATATTTCGTGTGAGAATACTCGAAAGGAACATGATGAGGAGTGTTTGTTTCGCTAATATGATACTTCCCATTCGTATGTGTTGATGAAAAAGAGTTGTTCCATCCCAAATGTTTTTTCTTCGAATTCTCTGACGAAAGTGCTGGCGATTCTGCATAAGATGAAACATCGAAACGAGTTTCTGGTGTAGTAGATAGTAATGAATGACATGCATAACCAATTACGTTAGGAAATTGCATATCATTTTCGTATGATATTGGAAAAGAAGAAGATACACCTGAAGATATATTCGAAGAGAGTTCATTTGTATTCAGTGCATTATCTTGTTGTACCACGCTGCTTAAAGTTATTTTATTCTGTTCACAATTTCCGTCATTTAGTGGACATTCTGCTGTTCCAATTAGCAGCTCACCACAGCCAGAACACCAATTCATATCTTTAAAACATTGACTATTGCATTTAGGACATATTAAAGCGTTTTTATCAAACGCCTGCTGTTTATGATAATGCATACTTGCTTTTCCATTTCGGAAATCATTGCGACAAGGATATGAAATTGAGTCCTGGACAGCACGGTGCTCTACATGGTTCACAGTTGTAGGATAAAACGGCAGGATACCATAGTTTGAATAAAGAACTGGTATATTGGTATCCATTATTACGAAATGAGTAGTTATGTCTCGTATCAAGCACCATTCAGCGAAAAATGGTATAAATTGACAAAGTTGTCTGAAAGATAAGTGAAATAACAAACGGAACTGTAAAGATATGATTAATTTATAAATTTACGTTGATCTCAATTTACCAACTAACAATAAACCAACATAGAAAAACTTGACTAATCCCAGGAATAAGAACGATATTGTAACAATCTGTACATAGCATAATTCCTGACGGTTGAACTTATAATTAAGCTGTTGCCCATCGATTTAAGTACCTCACTTCTAGTCAGTAGGGTGTGATGGTTTTGTTCCGTCGTTAGTGCACACAGTGAAAATAGAGGAGTTGCAATAGTAGAAGGAAGGCAAGATAATAGAGATGAAGATGAAGACAAAGGTGAGTGAGGATTAGAGAGGTTTCGCGTGCATTTCGGATTGTGAGGGCGATTGTTACTTCCCGGCTGCCCACACCGTGGAAGTTGGTTGCGTGACCGCAGAGCCCAGGGGACAACTGCTTGAGGCCGGTCACACACGGCCTGTTTTTGTTTGTTCTTTTTTATTTGGTGTGTCTCAGTAGCGCATTTATCACTTCTGCCCTGTGACACGGCAGCAGAAAGCGCGGTCGTTGTTAATCCGGGCCCCGACTGATCCGGCATGATATTTTGTGATTTATTTGAAGTCATAGGATTGGAATTGGGTAACTGCTTTTAGTCTAACCGCTATCTAAACAACCTTTCTGGCATGGTAGGACCTGCAGGAACATAAGTTCCAGCCAGTATAGCTTGTTGGGTCATTGCGGTGTTCAAGCCCGACCACCACGTCAAGGTAGCAGCTTTCGGTCGGGCAGTAGGGTGTGAGTTTGAACTTCGTTCCATTTGCTGAGTATTAAACAGACAACTTGTATCATAGACTGAGACAAAGAATGTACTTTGTTGGAATAATGAACAAAATATCACTTAATTCTTAGGATATTATTACAGCTAAATTAACATAAAAGTACTTATTTTTATTGATGAAAACAAAAGAATTCAGTATCATATGAAGTAGTGTCAGAGGTGATGTGAAAATTCAATTGTTCCTTCGGCTGTGCACTTTATTCAGTCCGTTAGTGATAATTCATGAGATTTTTTCTTCTTGTCTAGGCATTATAGTAAAGACATTACACGGATAGTTATTTCAAGTAACAGGTGGGGATAATTTTTGGTGGAATTACCTTAGTTACTACCACCAACATAACTTTTATATAAAAAAACCATAATAAATGCTCTATACATTTTCAGAAAAAACTCACAAGCAAACTAGTTTCGGAAACCTTTGTGTTAAAACTAACACTTTCGTTTAATTTGTGGCAATTTATTCCTTCTGAGATAGTCACACTATTGAGTTGAAAACTAGAGTGGTTACATTGCTACATAGCTCTGTGAAAATCAACTGCCTTTGACGATAAGAAATGAACACTGCAAATAGAAACTTGTCTCTACCAGACAATTTCCTTTAAGAACAGCCTACTTAATACTTCTTTAACAGTCAGCGTGTAAAATTTTAGTCATCTTGCAACTCAATTATGAAGGCATCTTTTGTTTACAAACTAGGACACTACTGGATCTACTGAGATTTTAGATGTCAACTGATTCGTCAACCCTAACAATACGTGGTGCATTGTCTACTGCATTAAACATTGATGCAGGTGTCCAGAGACAGAATACATCTTGTAATTATTTAAATAGCGGGCTTTTTGAAAACATGTTTGTGAGTTTATATATATTCGAAGGTCATAGATGACGTTAACTCAGGGGTTACTGCACTGACAGCAGAAATGAAGTCCCAGTAGTAAGTAAGGAGTATGTGTTATGCATTGGCTAGTACCATGCATAAGAAAACCGTATATATATATATACATATATATATATATATATATAATATTAATGACGACACCAACAATAAAGAATCTAAATCATCAGTAGTAATTCCATACAAGGAAGGAACCTCGGAAGCCTTACGCAGAATTCTTAACAAGGCAGGAAAAAAGTGGCAGTCAAACCCACAAACTCAATTAGAAACAAGCTTTGTCGGTTAAAGGATCCTGTAGAACCTTTAAAACAAAACAATTTAGTTTATCTAATACCCTGCAATGATTGTCAGGTCAAATACATAGGTCAAACTAGTAGAACAGGGGCAGTCAAACTAGCTGAACATAAAAACTTAGCAAAATCTAGATTGGTTGACCCGAATAAGATAAGAAATCTAGAGAATAGTTCAGCTATAGCACTCACTACATGAAATTACACACAACCATACAATAGGATGGGATAGGATGACAGTTTTAAAATCTAATGTCACAGGGTATAGGGAGAGATTGATAACAGAAGCTTTGTTTATCGAATCAACTGCAAATACATGTAGTAGGAATGATTCATCACCTGTCCCAGATATCTGGAAAATTCTACTACTCCTACGACAAATAGGAGAAAACAAAGAAAACTATAAAACTCAAGTCTCAAAGTCGTGTGATCACAATTGATATGATTATGAACAATAAATTTTGTTCGAAACGTCATCCAGTAAATAATACTGTTTCACTGTGTGATATATCTAATAAACAAACTAATATGGAATTACTTACTACCACAGTCCCAAGTTTTACATATATATATATATATATATATATATATATATATATATATATATATAAGGTTCAAAGACAAGATCCTAATTACAGAAGAGAACGTATGAACGAGAATACGTATTTAAATACGAACAGTTCATTATTTCGCATATATGTCCAGTGAGAAGCCAATAAAAGACTTTCTTGTACGAGAAAACACTGCGCAGATAACTGACATCAGGATTTTAGCTGTTGGATGAACATCAGTAAACATTCAAAGTGGAGTTATTCACTTCGCGAATATATGGACACACAATTAGAGCTTCACACAAAAAATAAACTACTTATCGGGAGAAACGAATTATCTATCTGAAGTTTGGAAGTGACGAAAACTTAAAAATCGTCTGTATTACAGAGTTGTTTAAATGAAGATAGACACAGGAATAGGAGTCTCAGCATGTAATATTGAGTCAAGCTTTCGAATGCCCGACAAAATCTGTAATTACTGACTTGAAAGCAACTTACAGTTATACAGATCGAGAGTGCGTAGCGTGTACGACATCTCACTGAGTGTTTTCCCACTGGTACATTCATGCTTACATTAGAGGCTGAACTAATCTATAAGGAATCTTTATTGTATTTCTCCTCCACTTTTACTCAGTTTTAAGAAATGACAATTCTGTTGGTTACTTTTAACATCGGAGTTTGGTTCAAGGTTATTCTTAAGTTAATGAATAGACAATATAGATGAAGTAAGTAGTCACACTATTCAGTACACTGGAGCTGGAAAAAGGCCGAAATATCATTCACAAATCACATACCCAATGAACCATCCGTATTAACATTCAAACTGAGTGTCTGATGTATATGTTGTATTTTGCGTTTACTAGCCTGAAATTGCTAAACAATACTTAAATAATACGTTTCTACAGTTCTTACAAGGACTGATGCGATGACGATATACTTGTTGTCTAAAAGCTGATTTAGCAAATATGATGTCGGTCCCCAAATGATGAGGACTCAGCCTACCCTACCAGATATCTCTTAAGAGGGATTATCAAAGTAATCAGGATGTAACGAAGGTTAAGAAACATTAGGAATGGAGCAATTGAGGGTTAGAAGGCCCGGCAATTTTTTTATCAACTTCTAAAATAGCTCCAATGAATGAAAGGGCATAAGTGCATGTCGTCCAGCAGATTGCAAGGTTTTCAGAAAATACTGCTTGAAGACTTCTAGTGGTATAACTACTGACGACAGTTTGCAGTTTCCAAGCTCATCCACCCATTCATTCTCAAGATTTTGAATAAGAACCAACAAATTGAAGAGAATGTTAACAAGATTTGAAACGTATGTATGCACATAAAATGCATCAAGTGACTAGGAAAAATGTAGTTACAAAAGCTAACATTACACAAGTATTTGCAGGACGAAACGTACTCTGCACCACTTGTTTCAACTTAATTAACCAAATCCGTAATTTAATTTGGCTTCTCGGCATGTATCATATAAATAAAGGTAAAATTTCCTTATAACAAGTTAACTTGTTCATTGACTGACTAACCAGCTGGCTTTAATTTTTATGAAAGACATATCACGATCATTTTATCCGACTGAAAAACCTTATTAATTGTTATAACCTTATGTCCAAATGACCAAAACCCGATGGATAATAAAGGGAACCTACTTTTCCCGGTAAATTGACAGATCGCTGAATTAAGCGCCATACGTTTGACCGGACTAAACTTGACTTCCCAATTCAATATACAATATCCACATTCTAATTTCAAATTCAGATTCAAACTCACCACTTGGGGAAAGAAGACTTCAAGGATGTATTAGCCCTTTACTGATAAGTATCTTCGATCGTCTAATCCCTCCTAAACGAGTCAACTGAGGGTGTAGACACTCCTTACTCTAGGAGTTGGTTCCAATAGTTTATGACTCGGTGAGAGGACAAATACTCTTCAGAGATATTCTTCGTGCCCGGGTTTAGCGATTCCCTGCCATAATAACTTATGCGCCTGTCAACTAGACGTAGATTGGCCATTTAGCTCATTTGGGTTTGGAATTGTCAACCGTTAACCCAGTTAGATTGAGATCAGGGAATAGAGTAAGTTCATACCACACGAATTATAAATTAGAAGCGCTACTTTGTGGTGCACCTTTACGCTACCAAGGAATTACCTGGGCCCAAACAAACCAATAAAGTCGAATTAGTTGTGTAGTAAGTAAACAAACTTCCAGCTGATATTTGGATGCCCAAACCACTTTAGGATCTGTTTCCGAAATAATCCATTCTACCTGTCTCTGATATCACATTAGTCAGATAAGTTGAGAGGAGATGAGGATGTTTGCCATAAATATCACTTCAGCCTTTATTCCACTTAAAAGTAATGCTACTAGGATTGGTTACCCAAATAAGTCTGTTGTGGTAAATGATCCCTCAAAATTATTATTATTTTTTCGTTTAAACAGGACGTGTACCATAGGAGTTGGAGAAGTAGAGCTTGCGTTCATATGCAGCATACTTTGCGTGAAAGTCAACATTCCTTCTTCCCTTAGACTGGTGAGCTCGTAGACGAGCCTAATTTAAACTAGTGTTACTCACAAGCACCTCACTCTATTTCTATGATTTCGTCCCATTTAATCCTTGTCCCTTAGTTACCTTTTTCGCATTTTAATAAATCCTTCTTACCATGTGTTATTTGGATAGATAACGCAGAAATATGGTTTCTTTACACTTCCATGAAAATGGTGTAACTGATCCACACTTACAACTCCTGGATGTCATACTCGCTCCGCCGTAGGAGTCCAGAGAGTGCACCCTCGAGGTAAGTAACCCCATGAAAGAATAAAAGCAGCCATCTCTTGAATCGGCAAAGTCTTGACGAACTCGTCCGCTGTATCGAGTTAGGGGACAATTCTGCTGTACGGATTCCTTCCCAAAGGCGAGAAGTCACCGTCTAACGAAAATTCGGCGATGGTCTGTAAAGGCGTCAGCTTCAAAGACTGCTGACCCACAGATCAAGAATCTGGCGCTCTGCCAGAAGACTTATCGCTGCAGTAACCGACTCGAGAATATTAGAAGACAGATGGGAAACTTTGTCCAGTCAATCAACGAGAAAGTTTAAATTGAATTAAACGGAAATCGTTTATTTCTCCGGTGTCAATATTTATTAGAGCGCCGATGATGGGCAAGTGAAGTGGCGAAATCTCAAACACACAGAAGGAAATTCATCAATCAATAGAGAAAGGACCTCACATATCATAGAGAAGATATAGTTCTCAATTGGCTGCTTGTCTCGTCCTTATGTCTTCCCTAATCATCCACCGCCTCTGAGTGATGGTAGTGTTGTATAGGTCTCACATCAGCCTCCCCTGACGTTCGAATAATCCTTATTTTGGAAACATACCTAGGGTCTACCACTTAGTGCATTCGTCCATGCTTGGCGACTTGAGATTTAAGTTCGGCTAAGGCTATGACATCAGCTGACTCAAAAATACCAGGTTGCCGAATATGCAGAATACAACTATGTGGGATAGGTTTATTTTGTTTACTGAAGATTTCCCACTGAAGTTCCTATTCCCGACTGCTATCAGCTTTTTCCCGTTTTATGTAACAAGCACAATATAATGATCAATGTCTGCAACCTGATTGTGTTGTTAAGAGTACGTCTTCAGAAATCCTTAAACATGGTTTACTGGAACATGCTCTAATGATTACGCAAGGTCAACAACACTCCGCGACTGTCCTAAAGAGTTTTCTTTGAAAGTTTGACTGCACTAGACTTCATTCAAACAGTGAACATATATGCTAGAGTTAATGGCATGAGTTAAGAACTGATGCATACCTACTTCTAGATATCCTAATTTTAACCTGAAGCCATGAACGTCTTGATTTGAAATGCCGGTGTCCTGTCCACGTTTATCACTAGAGGATGACTAATATCTTCTGGCTGATTGCCTTTGGTCTCTTTACTGGAGTTGTGGCACACGCAGACAAGACAGCAAGTTAGGCGTGAATAAGTTGAGGAAGAAACTATGTGGGGGAATGCCGTGAAAGGGGTTCTCAACACCACGTCTGTGGGGTAGTATCTTATCTGGCTCTGGCCGGTGGACAGGTGTTTACTCATCTACCTCAGGAGACCCCTGAAATATAAAAAGGAAGGAAGAGGCAAGTTAAGAAAACTTCATCGCACTTTGAAGAGTGCTTCACTGCCCGTACAAAGAAAAATGATGGTTACAAATAATAATAAAATCTCAAGGTAAGTTCACAACAAGTGTTTTCATGATTTAGGATTTGCTGTGAATTTCTGTGATTTGAAAAACGAAAATAAAAATAAAAACAAGTGCAGAGACTTCACATCCAAAACAAAACTTGGGAAAATTCAAGTCATTACTTCTGTAGATATAATAAATAAGTGCATGAACGAACTGTGATATTGAATTTCTGGCTCATGAATGGTATAAGTTTACTCTAGGAATGAATGCTGACCCGTCTTTCCAAGCCTGACGATGCGGAGAAGGTCATCAGACGTGCGTTGACGACATGTAAAGGCTCAAAACACGGTGCTTATGAATGTTAACAGTAAGACACATTCGTTTTAACTGGACTTCATTTACTGAAGGTAATAGTCGTAGAAATGTTATGGCGTAGTTCACGCTAACTTCTTGAAGAACGGCCACAGCATATGAATCTCTGGATGATAAGATGAGAAGCGGTTTTTCATGAGTTCATGGACTTGGTACATATATGAAGACAATTATATTCTCAGAAATAACAACTAACGTATGCGAAGTAACGGAGGGTGAGCCAATAACTATTTTTATTCTTCGCCATTATTCAAATCGACGTATTCATAGTTCTCTAATGTATGTATATCATGACAGTAGTTTGCGAGAAATCTACCAACCCCATATTATGGTGATGGAGCCACATGGTTATTTTTTAATTTTTTGATTATAGCTTGATTCCACACCATATTTGTGGTACAAGTATGGAATTTTCAGCATGTGATATCGGTAGCCCAAATTTCGCAGGCCGACCATTGATATCAGGTGTATGTCGGACGGGAATCGAACCCCGGCCCATGCGCACAGTCGGCGAGCGTTCTAACCGCTGTGCCACCGACGCACATGTACAGACGCAGATGTACACTACTGTCATTGTCAGTGGTTCAAGTACAAAGTTGGAAGTCAGTTTTGTGCCCTCCCCTCACTATCTATTAGGTGTCCCAGGTGAGTTTTACGCTATAGTGAAACGACGTATGAGGTAAAAAACACATGTGAAGCGGCTGCGCTGAGTTTACTAACGGTTGTACAGAAGTTATACGGCTGGACTTATCCGGCATGTTGGTTGAAATTTCGCTCGACAAATTTGTTTTGTCAATAGTTTTTAATAAAATTTTGTTGTATGTTTTCTGGATTGATAGGAATTCTCATTTCCTGGCTAGTTATTTTGGTGTCTGCGTCATTTAATCTGACTGCGACACACTTAGCACATTGGTTGTAATGATTAGTGTTTCATGCTGAATGCGTCAAAACATCTCTACAATGAAGAAGATGGGGTAGTTGGGGGGTAATGTCATCTACACAAATAGTTCATTTCTTGTAGAAGCTACAGCTTTCGACATAGTGTCATTCAATGAAGACTACGTCAAAATGTGGCTATTTTCGTGTGAAGAACAGTACTATTTTACAAAAGAATGCTATCAGTACATGGGAATCACCTATAAATGCCAACAGAACATAAAACCAATGTGTAACCGAACGGCTATGGAACTGCAATCCAACATGACCGACTAACATGGACGAAAATGACCTTTGAGCGTCTCACTCCATCAATGACCTTGAGCATGCGGGATAATTTCAGCCAAGTTATACTCATTAAACTTATTTGTTCTGCAGGAGTTCAACATGTTATCCCTCGTAATAGTAATGTATAACTGAGTTGCATATCTTCAATAACGTCCAGTCGACATCCATATGGAAGAATAAAAAATAATAATAAGTCATTTCACGGCTGTTCTCCTAAAGGCTTATGGAAGAATCCGTTATTGTAGTCTGATAGCTTACACTACTTATGAGTAGTGAAATACTTTTAGTGGCTTTTTACGTAAGCTGCGTCATTTGTTGACAAAGTGGGACTACATCATTTTTATACTATCAAGGGTTTATACCTGAATCTTTGTCAGCAGTTAACTAAAACAGCAATCTGACCCTCTCTTCTAAAAAATCAACTAGGGAGCATTTAACAAAATATATATGTATCTAGAGTAATAAGGTAAGCGTAATAAATTTAGTTATCACCATGACATGGATAAAACTCGTCTTATACTCCACATAGCCGATTTCATTCCCGTCATCTCTGGTGTTTCATCATTTTCTTCTGATTTGTTTTAAGCATATGCTTAAAAACTCGACCATAGAGATAAAATGCTGATCAGCAGATATGCTAGTGGTCACAAATGTGAATCGCTCCAATCTGTAGGACAGCAACATGCATTTTTCGACAGCTCGAGAATTGATAATAAGTAATAAGGGTTGTACATATCTAAATTATAAATAAAAAAGTACTTTTGTTCCTACCATCTACAAGCCTGTTCAGCTTCTTATCAAGATGCTGCCCACTGGGCCCTACATAAATTCGCGAGACATCTTACAGGTCAGCTTGTTCTACGGGTTCTAATCTTCCAGATCTTTGAATTCACTCCTCACTTAAATATCACCT